CCTGCTTGGCTTTCCCAGCTCCTGCTTTACCTCCACATTTCAGGGCTGCCCTCTTGCCCAGAAACCCTCCAGCAGAGCTGCCCAGTGTGTCTCAGGGACAGCTGGGGGACAGGCAGAGTGATGAGGGGTCACTTGGAGGGGGATGGTGGTGTTGTGCCTCAGTTTCCCCAGCTGGAAGAGGTGCCATAAGGTGCGAGAATAGCTGGAACCCAATATGGAAGTTGCAGGGAAGTGCATCCTGAGGGAGGGTACAAACACACCCAGGGTGGTTTCACCCCCAAAAAGCCCTTCAAGGGAGGTGCCAGTTCAATGGGGAGGATGCTCCCTCCCCCATCACCCAGTCCTGGCCCTGACACCCCAAAACCCAGGGGACAAGGACGTGGAGATGGTGGGATTGGGACGGGGCTTGGCTGCCCAGGGATCTACTGTAAAGATGGAGCAAGTTCCTCCAGGAAGGAAACCCCTGCAGCCCCCAAAACAAGGGACAGGAGCTGTGGGAGCTGTGTTTTTGGGGTGTCTGGGAGAAGGGTAGGGAGAGGGTACATGCTCTGCCACAGTGGGAGTCCTACCTTAGTGGATAGCAGCAAATGGGAAAAGCATTTCCAGGAGGACTTTAAACACCCTCCTTCATCCTCCCACTTCCCTGGGAAGGGGGAAATCTGCAGCAGCAGCCCTGACCCACTGCAGCTGGGTCACTCTGGGGAAGCCCCAGGAGTGCTGGGATGTGGCAGGAAGAAGTGCAGGCTGGCACGTTGCACATTTTCTTAGAAGGAGCAGAAAAACTCCCAAACCACCAAAAAATTTCCCCTGCTCCCTTGGAAAGGGCACTGAAACCACAGCAGGGCCTGTACACCCCGTGCTGGAGGACGTGGGTGCCAGTGGCCATGTCTCTGCAGCCTCTGGGCTTAGCAGGGATTTGTTCACCAGAACCAAAAATGATCCTGGGGCCCCTTCTCCTGGTAAAGCAGCGGGTGAGGAGGGATCTGCTGTCCCTGTGGGGCTGGAGCAGCAGGTGCCCTCGGTATCGGTGTCACCCAGGGGATGGGACATGTCTTCCCTGCTCCAGCATTTTCCCAGAAGCATTCCAGGTCCTGCCCATTTTCCTGGAGCTGCTGGCTCCTGGCCTGGCCTGTGCCATACAAGGGAGAGGGAGCACGTGCCATGCTGGTGACTGTTCCCTTGTCCCAGGAACGGCTGTCACCTCCTTCACGGAGCCCAAAGCTGGAGCAGAGCAAACCCAGAGCCCTGCCCGGGAGGAGGCGGGTGCAGATCAGGGCTGGGGGGCTGCCAGGGACCCTGGGGAATCTGGCCCCAGAGGCATCAGCTGTTCAGGGAACACAGAACAAACAAAAAGCACATTTCAGAGCTTGGAAAGCGTCCACTGCCTGTGCAGGGATGAGGGACAGAGGCACTCCCAGGGTCTGGGGGCCTGAGTGTGACAGCAGAGCTGTACAGGGACATTTCCTGTGCCACCTGTGCTCCTGTTTCCCCAACTCAAAAGGTGCATGGAATGCGCAGCACCTCCTGGGGATGGGAACAAAGTCCATGGGCCCATGGTCCCCATTGCCCCTCTGGAGGGGTCCCCCCACTGTCTCAGGGACAGTGCCCAGGGCTGGAGGGGCAGGGCAGTGTAGGGACATCCTTGTGTCACAGCACAGCCCCAGCAATGCTCTGAGCAGGATCTGCTGCCCAGGGAGGTGGTGGCAGGTGGGGACACCCCTGTCCTCACTCAGCAGGACATGGCTCTGGCACAGACCCCAGACACACAGCCACATGTGCAATAGGAGACCCCCAGCCCCTGCTCTCCCTTGGCTGCTTTCCAAGCCATGCAAAGGCTGTCCCCACTTCCCAGCTTCCCACTTTAAGCAAACCCTAATGGGACTCGTGACGGATGCACTTGACCCTTCCACCAAACCAGCGATGGTCTGGTCTGGGATCCAGAGGAGGAAAAGGCCAGAGCCAGGCCAAGAAGTCCAGGAAACCCATGAAGGAGCAGAGTGACCCAGGGAGCATCAATGTCTATGAGCTCAGAACCGATTGTGGGATTAACACAGAGAGAGCAGGTGGCTTTTCCAAGACCTGTTTATCAAGGAACAATGAAAGTTGTTGGGTACAAGGATCCCCCTGCACTTTCCTCTGTGAGCCAGGAGCTTCATCCCATCACCCTCCCACCAAGGACTGGAGGGTGCCTTGAGCTCTCCCTGCCTGGCAGTGTGACTGTGCTGTGGTGTCCTGGAGCAGGGACATCTCCCAGGCCTGTGCCTCAAGGAACAGAGACCTTTCCACCAACAACAGATCTTTGGATGAGTCCAATTTGAGTTCCCCCTAATCTGCAGCTGGACTGTACATCTGTGATCTCCCCTGGAGGTGGGACACATCTCAGGGCTTGGGCTGAGACTGAGAGCCTTCCCCAGCCCAAGGTGGAGAGACCCTGACTTGCAACAGCTCCTCAGTGAGTTTCTGACAACACCCTGGATCAACACCAATTAAATCCATGTATTTAATTCCTTCATATGTGAGCCACTGTCAAAATCTCAGACTGAGACTAGACCTGGGCTGTACCTAAGGTCCATCAGGAGTTTAGAAAGCAGGGGGGTCTTGTCTGAACCTTGTACTCAACAGAAGGGTCTCTCTTACCCTTTTACCTCTCCAGTCTCAGTGTAAATCATCCCAGCTCAATTCCATCTTGATTTTCTAGTCTTTTGTATCCATGTAGGAAGTACCAGAGGGAACCTCATTGTAGTCTGTTAAATCACACTAAAATAACTTTTGCTAACAGTGCTGACGTTGACTCTTTAAGTGACCCTAAATCACTCATCTGTGACAAGCTGATGTTGTTGGCAGGATCCTAAATCTGGATTCATGGCAGAACTGAGGCCCCAAAGCTCCTGAGCTCCTCAGGGTTCAGGGGATGGAAAAGCCTAGCAGGGGAGGATCAGGGTGAGCCACGGCTTCCTGGGAGCAGCAGGAGACCTTGCTCTGAACCACAAGAAAGGAGCATTTCCCTTGGAACATATGGCAGCCACAGCCCCCTCTGTGCCGCCAGCCTGTGCCCGCTCCAGCTCCAGGGCTGATGCCATCTGTGCTTTTTGGGCAGGGATCAGCCCCACAGAGGGGAGGCTGCTGGAGCCCTGGGCACAGTACCTGCTCAGCCCAGGGCCTGCAGTGCAGATCTGCAAAGCTGTTCTCTGGGTTCTCAGCACAGCCTGTGATGCCTCTGCACCCAACCAGGGCCAGGGGAGAGGAGTAATGGAAGTACCAAGAGGCCCTGATCAAGGCTAAACCCCCTTGCCAGACTGGGCTGAGCTTGTGGGGCTGAGCTTGGGGGGCTGAGCTTGGGTGGGCTCAGCACTGGGGGGCCTCAGTTTGGGGTGCCCAGCCTGGAGGGCTCAGCACTGGGAACTCAGCTTGGGGGCTGAGCCCCAGGGGCTCACAGCTGCCTGCTCCCTGCAGCACTCACAGCTGCAGCTCAGGAGAGAGTAAACACGAGATGAAAGCCCAGGGAGATGAAAGTGGGGCTGGGGGTGCAGGGGCAGAGCGAGGCTGAGCTGTGGCTCCACAGACCTGTCTGGGCAACATCCTGCACTGCCGGGTGTGGGGGCCGGGCTCAGCCACCTCCAGCCCTGCCACATCTTCTCCCACAAAGGCGCTTTTCCTCCTCCTCCCTTGGCAGAGCTGGTCTTGCATGGGAGGGTCTTTCCCCCAAAAAGAAAGGGGGGCTAAGGAAGGCAGGTCCCTGCAGCTCTGTGGGTCACAGCTGGGTACAGATCCCCAGACTCAGCACCCACAGCATTCCAGGTGGGCGTGAAAAGGAAGCTGAGGAGCAGTGGCAGGAGCTGCCCTGGCTCAGAGGGCTGACCCAGCACCGCTCAGCACCCACCTGCAGCCCCACCACAGCTCAGCACTTGGGGCCTTGCAGGTGTCCTGGTTTCAGCTGGGACAGAGCCAATTCTCTCCCCAGTAGCCGGTACAGGGCCGTGTTTGGGATCTGGGATGAGAATAGTGCTGATAAGGCACTGATGTTTTGGTGTTGCTCAGCAGTGCTTACCCTAAGCCAAGGACTTTGTGTGTCCTGTGCTCTGCCAGCAAGGAGGGGCACAACAACTGGGGGGAGCAGGGCTGGGACAGCTGACCCAGGCTGGCCAAAGAGATATTCCACACTAAGGAACAGCACGTTCTCCAGCTGAGCTGCACCCACAAAACACTGGGAGAGGGGATGGAGGGTGGTCTTGGCACCTCCACCGGGCAGGGGAAAGGGCAAGAGCCCCTCACTTCCCTCCTGGCCAGGAAAACAATGTGCATCCCCCAAATGCAGCGTTTTTCCCAATTTAGTCCACCAGCCTCTGTGACTGCACCCCTGGCTCCTTCCCATGGCAGAGGAGCCTCTTGGCAAATTGGTGAGCTGGAATTCCCCTCCCCTGCCCACTTCCACCCGAGTTCCAGAGCTGGGAGAAGAGCTCAACCCTTGGGTACACAGACACTGCAGACACAAGTCAGGACAACCCCAGGCTGCTGGTCAGGCCCCATGGCCTTGAGACCCAGCACAGGGTTCAGAGCAGTCTGGACCTGGCACCTGAAGAGCAGCAGGAACCCAACCAACCTCCCAGGAGCTGTGCCAGGAGCACACACCCACGAGCTCCAGCTCCCCAAGGAGCCCAAACACCCTGTGTTTGTTTTGCTGATGGGAAGGTTCTGACAAATGTGCAGTCACGAGACGCTCTGCGCGGCGTGTGCTGTGTAAATACAACATAATTTATTGGTTCCATTTCAGAGCATGAGTGGTATTTGTACGAGTGTCCTAGCGGCAGGACGAGAAATGAGAGTCACGTATGTACAGAGATTCCAGGGCACAGGAATGCTTTGTAAGGAAGAAGTGGTTAGTGGTGCAGTTTGGTCACTACTGGTCCCCAAGTGCTAGGTAGACCCACTACCTACCTGGGGGCACTGCCAAGCTCTCCTCGTGCAAGCAGCGGGCGAGGCCGGGGGGCTCTGGCTGCACACCAGAGATTTTGGTCCCAGATGTGCACAGCTGGGTGGGGTGGTGATGCTGGGGAACAGGGAGAAGGCTCTGTATCCCAACGGGAAGCGGGATGTGGTCCCGGCAGGGTCAGCGTACCACGAGGGGCAGGGAGGGAGGGGATGGAGAAGAATTCCTGATGCCTGTCCCAGCACCTTCCCACTGGTGGCTCCCATGTGGAGCTGCCAGCGTGGATCTGTGTCCCCATGGGGACAGTGCTAAGCCACGGCCAGGCTGTGTGTGAAGAGCTCAGAGCCGGGCTGACACACGAGGGCAGATTTCCACTCCAAGAGCACTGGCTCCAACTGCAGCAGCCATGGGATGAAGGCCAGTCCCAGCTCTCTCAGAGGGAGCCCACAAGAGCCAGGCCTTGGGGACAGTGGGCACAGAGCAGCTCTGCCCCAAACCTGGACTCACAGCCAGTGGAAGAGGTGCTGGGGGATCCACAGCTGGAGGATCCACGTACACCAGTCCTGTACCCTGCCTTCAGGGGTGGGAAATGTGTATCCCAAGGGAGGTACCGCTTCCATGGCAGCACCAGCCCCACGACACAGCTCTGTCTGAAGTGTCTGGCTCAGCTCACTCAGGGCACATGGAGGAGCCAGCTCAGGCAGCTCCTCCTCACTCCGAGAGCCAACATTCCCATCAAGTGGCCCACAAATATTTTCTTTCTTTTTTATAGAAATTACTATAAAAAATTAGTTAATCTAGAGCATCTTTAAAAAAATATTCCTGCAGTATCACAGTTTTACATTGAAACTCATTAAAAATATATAATTTCTTAAACAAAACGTCTCTGTTCTCCCCTTGAATCACGTCTCCAATATGGGATTGGGGCCTGGAGTCCTCAGAAGAGGTGCCGAGGTGGGAGCAGGAAGATCTGAGCTCAGTGGCACATCCGGGATGTCATTTCCTTCTGTCAAAGGGACAGAGAAGACAAGGGACTGTGAAGGAGGATCCAGGCTCCCAGGTGAGGGTGTGGATGAAAAACCCCTGTGTTTAGCTGTCAATCCCATTCCTAGGCACAGGGTGACACTGCTGCCCAGCTCCAGTTTGGGCAGGGCCATGTTCCCTCCACCATTCCCATTCCCAGCATGCCCCAGTCACATCCTGGTTCCTGACAGTTACCCTTCAAGGCCATCTGGTCCTGAATTTGGGTAACTAGCTTTAGAAGAGAATCATGGAATCATTAAGGCTTGGAAAGAATCCCAAGATCATTAAGTCCAACTATTACCCCATCACTGCTGTATCACCACTAAACCATGTCCCCAAGTGACACATCCACATGGTTTTTGAGCACTTCCAGGGATGGTGACTCCAATACTGCCCTGGGCAGACCTTTCCAATGCCTGTGCCACCCCTTCAGTGAAGACATTTTCCCCTAAATCCAACCTAAACCTCCACTGGCACAGCTTGAGATTGTTCCCTCCTGTCTTGTCACTTGTTACTTGTGACAAGACTGAGCCCCCCAGCTGCTCCCACCTGTCAGGGAGTTGTGCAGAGCCAGGAGGTCCCCCCTGAGCCTCCTTTTCTCCAGGCTGAGCCCCTCCAGTTCCCTCAGTTGCTCCTGGTGCTCCAGATCCTTCCCCAGCTCTGTTCCCATCTCTGGACGTGCTCCAGCCCCTCAATCTCTTTGTTGGAGTGAGGGGCCCAAAACTGACCCCAGGATTTGAGGTGGGGCCTTCTGAGAAGGTTCCAGAGCCCTCTATGCTGGCCACAGACCCTGGGAGCCCCACCTGTATGTGAGCCCACCCAGACACTCACCAGGGGCTCCAGCTCCTTGGTGTCTATGAGATTGAACTCTTTCACAAAGTAGTAAAAGTGCTTGTAGCAGGTGTTCACGTGGGCCTCCGAGCCCATCTGGGTGATCCTGTCAAAGTGGTGGATGTAGACGTGGACAAACACTCGGAAGAGCCTGGAGAGAATCTTCTTCACCACTGGCAGGAAATTCTTGGGGAAGGGAGTACCTGGGAGGGAAGAATGGCTATGAAAAACATTTGATCAAGTTAAAACTGGTTGCTTAGGGATAAAATAAATTGGTAAAATGGACAGATTGAGGCAAAAGCACTTCTGTCCCTGGTAATTTCCAGCTTCCCACTCCTTTTTCCTTTCCTTTGGATCACATTTTTCAAAGCACAGATTTTTTAAGTGACAGAGTGATGCACTGCTGTGACTGAAAGCAGAGCCACATTCCCAGCAGTTGTTTCAGTCAGACAAGACTTTTCTTCTACTCCTGTTTGATGTATTTGTATAAACAGTGCAAAACACCAGATACAACCAAGCAACTTCCCAAAGCAAAGGGCTGGTGCTGTTAATTCCCCACAGTTATCCCTTGTTTTGGTACATCTTTAGCTCTTTGGTTAAAAATTAAAGCTGTTAAGGTCCTCTTTGAAGGCTCCAGGACTGTGTTTGGCTGGGCCCCTGCAGCAAAGCAGTCTGGCCATGCAGCCACCTCTGTGGGATAGCAGGGTGTAAAGTTCACACTGTTTCTAGAGGAACAAGGACGAGTTAAACCCTTTCCTTGCTCTGCCAGAGCTGCAGCATTTCAGAGTTACAGGATCTGGTAAAAGCTGAGCTGAAGACAATAACAACTAAAAAAACCCCAAACCACAACCCTTGTGCTGTCGGAAGCTCGTCCTGCAGCTCAGAACAGAACCAACACCCCCAGTGTGGTCCCTGGAGAGCTGCAGCACAGCCTGTGCAGCGTGAGAAGAATGGCTGGGGAGGGTTTGCTGCTTCAGCTGTCTCAAAACTGGTGGTTTATGGCCCCCTTCCCCTCTCTGCCCACTCCACACCAGATTTAAGCAGCATTTTGGCACAGTGGAGGATCCCTGTGGATGCTCAAGTGGCAGATGTGACCCCAATAGCTCCCATCAGAGCTCCAAAGGGATGAACACTGGGGCAGGAGGGAGGGAGGGAGCTCTGCTGCACCTCGTCTCCTCCACCCCAGGAGATGGAAGCTCTGCATAGGCTCAGCTGTATTTACCTGACAGCTTAGAGACTAAATTCTTCCATCTTCATCACAAAATAATACCCAACAATCTCTGTCCCAAAGCTGGGTTTGGATATGGAGATTGAGGTGTCCTAGGCCAAACTCCTGTTTCCATGGTCCTGGCAGTAGATGAAACATGGCCCTTCCCTCCAGGCCTGTGCCAGCATCCCACCCCTCAGGAGGGGCAGAGGCAGCCAGTGTGGCCTCTGATATCAGGGGGTGATTATGGCACAGGGCACCATCACCAGGTGACACAGAGCTGTGCCTTAGACCTGGTCTGGCCATCAGAGAGCCATCCTGCATCCATGAGCCACTCCAGAGCCACCTCAGAGACTGACTGCTCTAAGGGCAGCCTCCTGTTTCACTGCCTCGAGGTATCTGTGATTCCTGGTGGGATCTGGTACAGCTCTGGGTATTTCAGCACTGCAGAAGAGCTGGGAAGAACACACTGCACTGCCCACCAGAGAAGCACAGAGGGAAACAGCTCTGCTACAGGGGTCAGCTGTGCTGCAGCATCTCCTGGAACAGCAACAGGGCTCCAAGAGAAGGCTCCACACCCATCTCTCATCCTCCAGCCCCAGCTGGGACCCAAACTCACCGACGTTGGTGGGGAAGATGTCCTCATTGTTGATCTGCACCTCGATCCAGTCCATGAGCAGGTTCATGTACTGGGGCGCGGACAGGGCCGTGGGTTTGCGGTACTTGTGCTCGTCCTGCCACCGGTACTCGTACTTGGGGCCCCCCGACATGACGGGGCAGGACTGCTCCGTGCAATAGTCACTGATGGTGCCGTAGATGAGGTTGATGCGGTTGAAGAAGTCCACGACGTGCACGGCCACCCAGTCGTTCTGCTCCTCGCCCGGCGGCAGCTGCACGGCCACCTTCAAGTCCAGGCCGGCATTCAGCGAGGCCTGGGCCTTCTTGTGCAGCTCAAACCGCTGAGTGCCCGGCTCGAACTTGCGCTTCGGCCGGAAGGTTTTGTCTTTATTGAACACTTGCTTTAAAGCGTGGGACATTTTCCTTCTCTCGTGTCTCTTCCAGGCCCACAGTGGTGACAGCCGGAGGCACGGCCACTTCCCGGGGCAGGGCTGGGCCGACTGTGATCTTCACAGAAACCTCCCTCTGCTCATCTGGTCCTGATCTGCAACACAGCACAGAAGGGCAGAGATTAGGAGCAGCTCTCTCAACAGGAAAACTCGTCTAAATCCCATAGGAAGAGATCTGGGATGCCATCTGGGCCCTCGCCCCACATCTGAAACTGAAAAGGGGGGGAGCAGCTTTCCTTCCTCCCCCTTCCCTTCCTTCCCTTCCCCAGCAGGAGCAGAGGGGGGGGAGGCTGGAGGGGTGACCTGGGCTGAACAGAGTCACCTCCTGACCTGTTCCATGTGGCAATGACAGAACAGGCCCCACAGCCATGGGACAGGGCTGCCACTCACCCTGACATTGCCACACCATGAGACCCCAATCCTGCAGAACTGCCACCACCTGCTTGGCTCACACGCACTGACAAAGAAGGGTAAAACCAGCTGGGTTTCACCCAGAGATGCCGTTTTCACCTCTGCATCCCCTCTTTGGGAACAAGGCCAGGCCAGGTCATGCCAGCCCACAACACAGCTCAGAGCTTCTGCCAGACAGCCCCCACCAAGCCAGCCACTGAAAGTGAGAGACAGGAACCAGGGGGTGCAGGGCAATGAGAAGAAGAAGTCACAGCTCAGGCACCCGGAAAGCAAATATCCTGAAATAACATCAGCCCTGAGAGCAACCACAGCCTCTTCTGCAGGTGCACACAGACCATAAACATACTTCCCATTTCAGTTTAGCTCCATTTACAAGTTGAAAACTGGAAGATGAGGTGAAGCTCATCTTCCTCTTCCAGCCTGTAGAAAAGAATAAGCTCCAAGGGTGAGACACAAGTTGAGATCTGAAGGGATGCTGACGAGAAACACAGCTCTGTTTATCTGTAGCTAATTATACCTCCTTTGTTCCCACATCCAGCCCCTCACACAATTTGTGCCAGGCTGTTCTTTGATGAAAGCTTAAGGCAGAAAGCTTTGTGTACCGAAAATATTATTTTACACGTGCTGGACAGAGAAATGAATAAAGTAATAGAAATTAAGCTGATGCCTTAAATAGCATAAATAAGTTTCCATAATTTGATAAGCAAGCAAGCAAAAAAAGCAAGCCTTTCCCCAAGCAGAATCGACTTAGATTTACATGAAGCCACAGTGTTGTTCCAATAGGTAAATAGTGTCCTCAAATGCTGGCAAACACATCCCAAACTCAAGGTCATGACTACCACAGCTGCAATCGAGCCCTTCTCTAACAGATGCTGCAGTGCTAATCAGCAGTTCTTCTCTGGAGAAAGATTAAAAAGCTTTAAAGCCAAGGCCTCTTGTTTCCTTATTTAATTACAGTGAGGAAGAAACCCCAAACCACTCCAGTTCACCCCACTAAGAATAGGCTCAACATTTCCTGCAGGAATGGGCTCAGTAACCTCTTCCACACAGGAGCTGAGACATCCAAACCCCAACAAGGGCTACGATGTGCTGGGATGCTTAAAAGCATTTTAATGTGGTTCAGTGAGATCCAGCATGGGCTGAGAGGTGAATCCAGGGCAGACATGTCATCATGGAGTGGTTTAGGTTGGAAGGAACTGTAAAAACCATCCAATTGCAACTCCTTGCCAGGGGCAGGGACACCCTCCACTAGACCAGGTTGCTCCAAGCCCCATCCAGCCTGGCCTTCCTGCTGCCAAAACAGCTGCTGTGACCCCGTAAGCCACCTCAGAAGAGAGAAACCCAGCACAAACCCCCGGCAGATGTGTCCTTTGGAGCATGATCCCGCCCCAGACGTGGCAGAGGAAGAAGTGAAGGGTGTGGAGCGACAGCTGAGCAGTGCTGGTTACCAGGAGCTGTGTCACAGGCTGGCCACATCCTGTGGCAGAGCCGGAAGCTCCAGGGACTGTGCCCACCCCAGAACTGAGGCAAGGCCCCCACGGAACCAGCAATGTGGGCAGCAGGTGCTGAGGCTGCTGCTACTTCCAGCAGAAAGTCCAGGGAAGCACTTGTGATGAGTTCTCTGCACTGGAGATGGAGGAAAACACATCCTCTCACACAAGAAACCACAAAGCAGCAGCAGCACCGCCCTCCACGTGGCTCCCTGGAGCAGCATCCGTGGTGCAGTGTGACTCCATCCCCGCTTCTGTTCTGGAGGATCTGCACTGCAGGGCCTGGCATGGATGTGGATGGTGTAAAACCCAAGGGTAAAATCAAACATCCCCTGGTTTTGGCCCCACACATCAAGAAACAAACACCAATCATTTTTCTTATCTGAGCAGGATGGAGAGACTTTTCATAGAATCCCAGAATATCCTGAGCTGGATCCCTCAGGGGTGATCAGTGCAGCCCCTGGCCCTGCCCAGACCCCCCAACAAGCCCACCCTGAGCATCCCTGAGAGCGCTGTCCAAACGCTCCTGGAGCTCTGGCAGCCTTGGGGCCGGGCCCATTCCCTGGGGAGCCTGGGCAGTGCCAGCACCCTCGGGGGGAAGAACCTTGCCCTGAGATCCATCCCAAGCCCTGGCACAGCTCCAGCCCTTCCTGGGCTCCTGTCCCTGTCCCAGAGCAGAGCTCAGCCCCTGCCCCTCCGCCTCCCCTCGGGAGGAGCTGCAGCCCCCGAGGAGCCTCCCCTCAGTCTCCTCTGCTCCAGCTGAACGAGCCAAGTGCCCTCAGCTGCTCCTCAGAGCCTTCCCCAGCTCCGTGTCCCTCCTCTGGACACTCTCCAACAGCTTTGGATCCTCCTGATCTTGTGGTGCCCCAAGTGCCCCCAGCACTGGAGGTGAGGCTGTCCCAGTGCAGAGCAGAGCGGGACAATCCCTCCCTGGGCCTGGTGGCCCTTTGGGCTGCCAGGACTCACTGGTGACTCAGATCCAACTTGCCACCACCCAGGACCCCCAGGTCCCTTCCCAGGGCGCTGCTCTCCAGCCTCTCATTCCCAGTCTGTCCCTGCATCCAGGGCTGCCCCATCCCAGGGCAGGATCTGACGCTTGCCCCTGTCACATGGTTGGGGATTTCTCAGCCCTCACATTTGTCAGGGTCTCTGTGCAGGGCAGAGTTTACTTGGTGTGAGGCAGCACTTGTCCATAAAACAAATTCCTGATCCTATGGAGACATCATCCCTGAGAACTGGGGAGCTCAACACAGCACCAATTGTCTCTCAGACGATTTAGCATCTGTGTGAAGCATTAGCAAAATGAGTAGCTGACACATCAAGCAGATGCAGCCTATTTAATTATGGTCTCTGACTGCAATGAACTAAAAGAAACATTTAGCTCTAGGAAAAAAAATAAAAATAAAGAGGCACAGAGACCAAAGCATCCCTGACATTGCTTGGAGATGATATCATCTGTAAAACACCTACTTCCACAGGCAGGAGTCACAGCTGACACCGCCCCCGCACACAAGGGAAAGGAAAGGTTAAAGACAATTGGGAAATGGGACATGCAAAGCACCTGGATGGTATCTGCAAGCTTTAAAGGTGAGGGGAAAATCCACTCCCCACTCCAAACAAACCTCAGTACATTTTGTTGCCTCCTCTTTCAGCCAGCCAAGATCAAACATCACTGGTGCTCCAAGAGGACCTTGGCCATCGCTCGGGATCACACAGCCCGTGACCCCATGGGCTGTCCGGAGCACAAACACACCTCCAGCTTATCCCAAGGACACAGGAGGAGCAGCTCCCTACTGTGCTGGACTTGCCTGCCCAGGGGTCTCCAGGCCTGGCCCTCCCATCCTAAAAGCTTCTCTCCTCTGACTCCCTGCTTGTGCAGCTCCAGTCCTGTGCTGGTTTTGCTGTCAGGGTTGTTGGCATTGTCCTGCCATTCCTCCTCCCTTGCCAGGAATGATCATGAGAAGCTGCCTTGCTCTAACACCAGGTGCTGGGCAGAGGAAACCCAGGCAGCTGCTTCACAACTCTTGGTCACTTGTAAAGGCAGTTCAGAGTCTGGAAAAGGGAAGAGACATCTCCAAAACAGCAGGAAACTGACTGCTGCCCTTGCGCCCTGCTGCAGCCATCCCGAGGTCTTCCAGGAGCCAGCAGAGTTCCCGACAGATCCTGCCCTCCCTACAGAGGCAGAATGGCCCAAAAAGGAGTCCAGGAGTCCTATGACTGCTCCATCAGTGCCAGCCCCAGCAGCACTCCATGCTCCCCTCTGCTGCCAACACTGCACAGAGGTTTAACAACAGCCAGGGAAAACCAGCAAGGCAGGGGAAAACCAGCAAGGCAGCAGTCAGCAAGCTCCTACCTGTGCTCCTGGCCTCAGCAGGTCACTCCTGTGGAGGGCTCAGCCCTGCTCTGCACCCTCTGTCAGCGCTGGCAGGCGCCGAGGCCGAGCTTCCTTTTTCAAAAGAGGGAGAAAAACCTTCCCGTTTGTTTCATGGGAGGCTCCGCAGCTGGGGAGGGGTCAGACACGAGGCCGCCTCCCTCCGCCGTGACCCCAGCGCCGGGCTGGCCACATCCTGCTGCTTCTGGTAAAACAGCCCTTCAGCACAGCCCAGGGAGCAAGGCAGCTCTTCAAATCAGGGATTTGTCCAGTTTCCTGTTCGGGAAGCTGGGCTGCTGTCCTCAAATCCCACCGAGTCCAGCTGCTTGTAACCCTTGGGTGGGGAGCCTGTGACAGCCACCGTGTCCCCAGGAGAGGGGAGCCACAATCCTGCTTCCCCCTGAGCCATTCCCAGGGCCCCTAATGCCAGACCAGAGTTCCCAACACAGGATGCAAAATCCCCCTGACTGATAAAGCAGCCCTGATAAAGGTATTTTGGATGCACTGAGCATTTCAAGTAAAAACCTGGATTTACAGAGTGAGAAAGAGCAAAGCAGCTTCCAACAGGCAACTTGCACAAAACAGCCAAGACGGACGCACACGCACATTTTTTCCATAATTCCACCCCCCTCCTTTCACAAATCCCTTCCTGTGGCCACTCTGCACTAGCTCAGTGTCTTGGGACAGGATGATCCTGGTTTTCTCTGATCAAAGGAGAGATTTTACTACAGAGAGCAGGGACCAGAACAATCCTGGCAGCCGCACTGCACTAATGGCAGCCAGTTTCTGTGCCTCCAGAGCCAGTCTGGCAACAAATGAGGGCTTGTCTTCCCAGGACGAGACTTCCAGCTGCTCTTTTGAATGGATCTGTGATATGAGGAGCGAAGGTCTGCCCCGTGCTTACCTCAGGCAGGGCAGGGCAGGGCAAGGAGGGCTCAGCGTGGCTGGAAGGCACCTCTGGCCATTCATAATCCCGGCCAGCCGGCACTTCCACGTCAGCCTCTTCCTGTCTGGCACTGACTCCAGCCTCCCGGCCCAGGGAGCTGCCAATGTTTTCCCAAAATCTAATCCATCCCCTCTGCAAGCTCTGTCTTTCCTCCCGCAGGACCACTCCGTGTTGCTGCAGGAGAGCCGAGCCACGGCTGTTCCCTTCGGCATTGCCTTCCCCGTCCGGCAGCTGAAGATGCTCAGAAGCTTCTGGAGAAGGAGCAGCTCGACCCAGCCCAGCTGCACTTCCAGCCCCAGCCTGGGCACACACCAGCCCCACTTCATTCTGTTGCTCTGGAGGACAACATCCACGTTTTTCTTTTAGAGAATGCTTTAGCAGCAGCCTTCACAAGCAAATCTGAATAGGGGCACACTGGAAATGCTGAATTCCCAAGGTTTGGGCAAACAAAGAGCCTTTTGTCTTTCACCAGAGTCAGCTTTAAGAAGGTCTTGCCTGCTGCCAGCCACCCCCAGGCCCTGTTATTCCAATCTGCTGCACAATTTGGAAATTCCCAAGTAAAAAGTGGTACAGTTCCCCTGGGACTTCCCAAGTCTCCTGGGACTTCCCACATCTCCAGGCCCTTCCTGGAAAGAGGGTGGCTTAGGAGAAGGACAGACTTTACACATTTCCAAGCCATGGAGAGGCAGAGCCCATCTGCAAGGTCATATGCTTGATAAAAGGAAAAAGCATAATCAAAGACCAAAAATAGTTATCCTGGGCTTTAACTGTCATCTCCTTTGCCCCTGCAAGGCCAAGCATTCCAGACAATCCTAAAATCTAGTTAGTTTATGGAATAAAGGGAAAAGCTCTATTAAATTAAGCCATATCTGGGATAGCAGAGGACCCACCAGAGGTGAGGGCAGCTCTGGCAGAGCCCATCAAGAGCTGCACGTAGGAATGCTGCTGCTTGGAGCAGAGAGCCCAGGTCAGCCAGCAGTGAGACACCTGCATCCATCCCAGGCAGGTGGAAGAACAGGGAGTTTATTGCCTGGCTTCAAGCTCAGGATTTACATTCAGACCATGGGCAGTGACAGGAGGGATGTTATGGTGACACTGCTCACACTGCACAGGGATGCTGAGGGAGGGCAGGTGAAGCAGTGAGTGCTGGAGAGGCTGGAAAACCCAGTCTGGCAAGGGAGAGGGAAGGCAAGAAACCCAAATCTCCAGCGTGGTTTGTCCCCTTGGCCTTCCTCCCCACATCCAGAGAGGGAGAAAAGCCACATGAGAAAGTTCTGTAAAAGGTCCCTCCTGCTTCCCTCCCCGGAGGGGAAGGTCAGGCAGCAGATGCTGCAATTTCCAACTGTTCCTGTGGAACAGCAGTGACTGCAGGGAGCCCCACGGAGCCCCGGGTGTTACTGACTCAGGGCCAGCCCTGCTGCCTCTTACGTGACATCTGCATCCATTGCAATGTCAGAGCCCGCTGCTGGAAGGTTTCCAGGGATCCAGCCGGGATGGGGCTGCGTGTGGAGACAGAGCTAATCCGCTGCAGGCTTTGCAGGGCTGTGCTAAGCTGACAAGCTGGGTCACGACTCCAGCACACAGGTTAACGGCACACACAAGTATTTCCAGGGCAGAGAACAGCCAGTGATGGCATGGCAGGAGCAGCTCCCTCTTTTCCAGGTACCAGAACAGTCTGGTCCTTTGGGAAGGCCTCTTGCTGTCCCCACTACAGGGCTGGATGGGCAGGATGGTGTTTATTAAGTCCCAGCTGAGCTACTCATCGCTCCTTGTTTGTGCAGGCTCTGTATTGTCCTCACCAGACAGGGATATGTCTGGGCCCACAGCAGTTCCATTTCCTCCAACTTTCGGGTCTGTTCCCACCCAAGTCAAAGCTTACATCAGTTTGAAGCATGAAATTTGCATTAGGATGATAAAATGACTATGGGACCATTCTAACAGTGGGCTGGGATCCCAGGAAGTGTGGGATCACACCCCAGGGCTGAGCTGGAGCACGAGCTCACCACACGGCCAGCCTTTCCCAGAGCATGGATAATCCTAGGGACAAACATCCCTTTCCCCCACACTAATGTCACTGCTGGGATGAAAGGCAGGATTGTTTCTTGCTGACAGCAGAGGCCCACAAGGCCTCTCTTGCCCTGGCAGGAGATATGGGAGTAACTCAATCCCTTAACACAGCTCCAGGAACAGAACAAGCCCATGGATGTGGAGCTGGAGACCACCTCAACACCAACCACATCACAGACCAAGAGGAAAGAGAGAAGGAAGCAAAGGCAGCCAGACAACAGCCCCAGGAGAGGCCTGCAGAAAATACAGGGCCTTTCAGTGCAGCCAGAGGGCCAGCTCAGCTCCTGCTGCAACCTCAGCCATAATCTGGGTGGCTCCAGCTCATCTTCTGTCCCACAGCACAGGGTCACACATGGGAGTGTCTGGCAGCATCACCACAGCCTCATCTCACTCACACTGACCCAACACCAGCACCAGTCCTCTGGGAGCTCAGCCAGGTTTTCTAGAGGAAGTCAAAGCTGTCAGACTGTGATGGATTGTTTTGCTCTGGCTTTGCCCACTTGCAAAAGTTGTTTTGCTGGGGTTTTCTTCTGGCCTTCGCTGCCTTCATCCCTTCCTCTGCCCTCCCTTCTGCTTCACATACCCAGAGCAACAAACCACCCAATTTCACCAGGAGCAGAGCAGCACCTCTACCACACCATTAGCTCCAGAGGAAAGCAGGCAGCAGACCAAACCAGGCCTCAAGGATAACTCTGCCTCCCAGGGGCATCTGGAAAAAGGAGGATAAAGGTGCAGCCTAAGGTGCACTCTTCATTGACTGCATTAGCTGGGTATTACATATTCCTAAATATAAGCTGATAAACCTTCAGCAAAGCTGGTTCTGGATCCACTTACAGCAACATTTATGGCTCAAGAACCAGAAAATACTTCCCAGTCTTACTAGAAATTAAAACTCAGAAATTGAAAGCAATTCCCTTCACAGACCTGTGGGCAGAACTGGAAAGGTTTTGCAATTTCTGTGCTTTGACCCCAGATACTTTCACTACTCACAAGGGACATTTTCTCTTTCATTAGTGTGGCCATGGAGATCCCTGATCTTCACAGAAGAGCAGGAGTGACCAAGCACAGCACAGATCTGGACAGTCCAACCTCCAAAATGGGACTAAATCACCCCATTCCAGTGTGGGGGGTACTTTTCACCCCATCAGTAGAAGGGCCACGTTAGATGCGGACAAGGAAGCAGCTTGCAAACAGCTCCAGAGGCAGCTGAAGTGAAGCTAGGCAATTTTGCTAAGGGTGCTGAGTCTACTCCAAGCTCCCCAAGCCTTGGCCAAGCCCATGGGAGGGCCCATTTCCATGTCTGATGATGGCACAGGTAACAGTGCAACTCCACGTGTCAACAGAGCATCCCAGGAGCTGCAAGGTGAGCCAGGCACAGGGAACCAACTCCCTGCTCAGCACCTGCACTCAGCTGCTCACTATAAACCGACAGCTCCAGGTTTTGCCACCACTGTCAAGAATTCCCAATGCTCCTCTCCCTCTTTCTGGGGATTTTGAAGAGTCACAAGCTCACCCCAGGTTCATCTCACAGTAAGTGACTAAGACAGAAAGTTAATCTGAAATATGGGATATGCAGACAAACAGGGAGCTGGATGTGAGCCTGAAGTTGGGAAAGGAAGCAGAAAGCAAGGACAAAGCCCTGGGGACTGTGATAAACAGGTGGCTGGGGAAGTTTCACATCTCCCAGCAAAATCCCTCCCTGCCCTGCAACTTGGCAGAAGATTTCCAGACCGGAAAAAGGCTTTTAACAAAGGGATGGAAATCCAGCAAATGTGGCCACTCTGCAGCTTCAAGCTCTAGAAGGAGGGAATCCTGCCTTTCACTAGCACTGACAGAAATGCTTTTTCCCAAACATCTGTGCTGGACACTGGACAACTCCAGATTCCCTGTCCTTTCCCTCCAGAGGACTTCCTGCCCTTTCCTTTTGCCTGTCCTTCTCAGGCAGTTTTCTTTGAAGGAGCTGAGCTCACTGTGCCGAAGATCAGAGCAGAGGCAGCTCTCTAAGATCAGGATTCCTGAGCCCACAGCAAGAGACAGAAGCAGAGCAAGAGTTTGC